CTTCATCGCATATCTTTCTTGTTTTAGTGTAATCCCATCTGATCTTTGATCAACCTCGATCCCAAGATAGTAAGTGAGCTTGCCAAGATCACTCATCTCAAAACTCTCTGCCATCCCTCGTTTGAAATCTTTTATCTGATCTAGACTTGTGCCTGTTATTAGTAAGTCATCCACATAAACTGCTACTAGTAGGACGTGTTCTTCTTCTAACTTCCGGTAGAGTGCAGGCTCTTTATCACATTTTAAGAATCCCAAGCTTCCAAGTACTTTATTTAGCTTCTCATTCCAAGCTCGTGGAGCTTGTCGTAGTCCATAGAGTGCTTTACGCAGCTTATATACCTTGCCTTCTTGTCCCTTTATCTCATAACCTTGTGGTTGACTAACAAACACTTCCTCCTTCAAGTCCCCGTGGAGGAAAGCCGTTTTTACGTCTAGATGGTGAATCTGCCAGCCCCTTGATGCCGCCATTGCTATCAATAGTCTCACTGTTTCAATACGCGCCACTGGAGCAAAAACTTCATCAAAATCAATCCCATGCCTTTGAATGTAACCTTTTGCTACAAGTCTAGCCTTGAATTTGTTGATGCTACCGTCTGCGTTCCTCTTAACCTTGAATACCCACTTTAAACCAATAGCTTTAGCGCCATTAGGAAGATCAACAAGATCCCAAGTGTTGTTCTTAACGATGGAAGCAATTTCATCATCACACGCGTCACACCAAACCTTCTGACCTTTTGCTTCCTCGTAGTCCCATGGCTCATCATTCAAACTTAGAAGAAGACGCTCACCATCGAGCTCTGCTAAGAGTATATAATCGTCTAAATATCCAGGTAATTTCTTCTCTCTTGTTGATCTTCTTAACATAACTTCTTCAGGAACGTCTAAATCCTCTGTTTCTTGTTCGGGTGGAGTTGGCAGAACTTCATCTCCATGTATGACAAGTTCATTGTTATGATCAGCTCCTGTGGGTTCTTCAGCATCATCACCACTTATTCCTCTGTTTCCATGTGTTCCAACAATAATGCTAAACGTTCCTCCACTACCTTGAGAGTCGTCTCTCCAATTCCATCTTTTATTCTCGTCAAAAATAACATCTCTGTTCACAACTATCCTTCGGTTGAGAGGGTTATATAACCTGTAAGCTTTTGTTCCTGATTCCGTACCGAGATGAACTAACATCAGTGACCTATCATCCAGCTTCTTAAGATGTGGAGTGTCAATCTTGGCGTAACAGATACACCCGAACACACGAATGTGTTCTACACTAGGCTTTCTCAATTTTAACGCCTCATATGGAGTTTTGTCTTCTAACACTCTTGTCCCAACTCTGTTAATAATGTAAGTAGAGTGTCTTACAGCCTCACCCCAAAAGTAATTCGGACACCCCATACCTTTCAGAATACTTCTTACCATTCCCATTAAAGTCCTATTGCGGCGCTCAACTACTCCGTTCTGTTGCGGTGAATAAGGAGCTGTTAAATGCCTGATGATGCCGTTGCTTTCACAAAAACCTTGAAACTCGTTAGAAACAAACTCTCCCCCTCGGTCTGTTCTGAATACCTTGATAGTAGTTCCTATTTCTTTTTCAACCATTGCTTTAAAATGTTTGAACTTCTCATAAGCTTCTCCTTTTTCTTTGAGCAGAATAGTCCACATGTAACGCGTGCAATCATCGATGAGAACAAAGATATATCTTTTGCCTGATGGTGTCTGTGGTGTGATAGGACCACATAGGTCACCGTGTATTAGATCAAGTGCCTTCTCTGCTCTGAAAGTGGTCGCTTGTGGAAAAGAATGTCTAGCTTGCTTACCAAGCAAACATGACGCACATGTGTCTCTTTCGATCTCAATGTTTGGTATCCCTCTAACCATTTTTTTCTTGATCATTGTCTTCATTGAGTCCTTTCCTATGTGTCCTAACCTCGCGTGCCATCTCTCTGAGTCGCTTAGAGTTACAGCTTGAAGACACACAGGATTGACGATGTTGATGTTAACCTTGTATAAACGATTCTTTGATCTCTGAGATTTTGTTATAAGTCTTCCATTCTTATCGTTTAGTATAAGATAATCATCCTTCATTCTAACATCACACCCACATTCTGTAGCTTGTCCAAGGCTGATGATGTTACTTCTTAACTTCGGAATATAGTAAACATCGGCTATCTTCTTCTTGGTTCCATCTTTACTAGAGAATAAGATTGAACCTTTTCCTTTTATCTCAATGCGAGAGTTGTCTCCAAAACGTACTTTCCCGGTGATCTCCTCATTGATCTCTGTAAAATAGCTTCTGTTACCGGTCATATGATTGCTCGCACCGTTATCTAGATACCAAACATCATCTGAGACATCCTCAAAATCTTTTGGGTTGACTTTCTTCTCATTCAAGTAAACAACTTCGTGCATCATTAGCTCCTCTGCCTCTGTAGTATCATCTTCTTTATCTTTTGTTTCAGTAGTCTCATGTAGCTTTAACAGACGGTCAGGGCAAGTAGATGCGTAATGGCCAGTCTTGTCACACCTGAAGCATATTATTTTTGATAGATCAACTTCTCCGTAGCGTCCATTGTATCCATTGTATCTACCTCTTCCCCTACCTCTGTTATAATACCTGCCACCACTTCTTCCTCTGCCACGATAGTATCCATTATTTTCGTGATGTGAGGTATTAGGCGATGATGTCTCCGAGTTTGCAAGTAGCAGCTTCTGATTACTTTGAGTTTCTTCTTCAGCATGTGAAGTTCGCTCCTCATATGTCTTTATACGTCCAATAACATCTTCGAATGTTGCAGTACTCAGATCTAGGAACTGTTCTATCGATGCAACAATATGTATGTATCTTCTTTGAGGGAGACCATCAAGAAACTTCATGATTAGTTTGGATTCTTCAATAGTTTTTCCCAAAGCGGCTGACTTTGATGATATCTCTGCTATTCTTCCCACAAAATCATCTATTTTCTCATCATCCTTCATTGTTAATCTGTCAAAGTCGAAGTTGAGAGTCCGTAACCTTGCATCACGAACTCTATCTGCTCCTACATACCTCGACTTGATTGCTTCCCAAATCTTCTTTGCTGTATCGAGTTCTCCTAATTGTAACACTAAAGCTTCTGGTATAGATGAGAATAATAATGTCATAGCTCCAATATTTTTCTCACTATCTTTAGAGTCTTCTTCGACAGCTTCCCATACTTTATGTAACTGTAGTAAGAGCTTTATTCTTATAGCCCATACAGTATAATTTGTTGAATTTAGCATAGGACATGTTGCCGAGAAAGATCCTGGTTCCTTTGGTTTTGCTGAAAACGTCACAAGATCTCCCATGTCTTCTAAGTAGGATCACAAACCTTCAAGCTCTGATACCACGTGTAGTCTAAACTTTGCAATGAACACAAACTTTAATAAGAATTTGCTCTCTTATTAATAACTCAATGCCTTAGAAAATCCTCTCAAAACTAAAGCCTCTAACTCACAATTGGATGCCACACTTTGACATCTCTATATATATAACTCTAAGTCCTAATCCTTCTAAACATAGGATATTTAGATAACTCCTAAATATCTANAATTTGCTCTCTTATTAATAACTCAATGCCTTAGAAAATCCTCTCAAAACTAAAGCCTCTAACTCACAATTGGATGCCACACTTTGACATCTCTATATATATAACTCTAAGTCCTAATCCTTCTAAACATAGGATATTTAGATAACTCCTAAATATCTAGGACTTTATTGATAAACACAATTTCAAGTTTATCCAACAACCAGTAGCTAACCTGTCATGAATAGCTAACTCAGAAAGAGAACTTAGGAGTAGCTCCCCTAAACCAAACTCCCTTATACCACATAACTTTCTGCGACTGAGCTCTGATAATATTCCAAGTCTGAGAGGTAGAGAAGACTGGCTTGCAATCCCCATTCTCTCATTGTGCTCTGCTACAATGATTTGATTGGTGGGAAGTTGGTTTTCCTTTTATGAATCTTGAATTAGTCTCTCTGTTTGTAATATTTGTTCATACAATATGCTCTCTGTAACAATGTACACTTTCTAGTTAGTAATCATAAAGTTTGTTTATTCATGTAACATGTTCATCTCAATGGAAAGGTACAATGAAACTTAACTCTCACATTCTTTCTTAGTGCGTGTAACTAATTGGTCATCTGAAAGATTAATGTAATTGCTAATCTGAACCAAACAGGTTTGTGCTTTGTTAGTTACTGAAATGGCTTGCAACATGAGAGAATATTCTCCTTGGTTTTCTTCTTATTGACTTTCTTACAAGATCAAGGATGCTATGAAAAGAAAAATGATTATAGTTTACATTAGCCAGTGAGAAGAGATTAAGGTTTGATAGCGTCCTTAGGTTTCATTTTGATTTCAATGGATGTTAATGTAATTCTCTATGCCATCAATATACTCGAGTACCCAAATGTACTTTCTGGGCCAGAGACATACAAAGATTCACAATTATGAGGCAAGAAGAGAAGCGAACACGATGATATATAACACCTACGTACGTTGGTTTGTTCAAAGTGCTGTCGCTTTCCATGGTAGACGCTATTCATGCAAGAAACAACCTCGAGCAACATTTCAAGTTATCATTTTCACCATGGCTAAACTTCGGTAGAGACTAAGAAATGAAAGCCTATTGTTGAAATCTGAGAACGTATTAGTTTGTGACATAAGAAACGAAAGGGATTCACAGCAGAAGAATGGATAAAAAAGCCAGTGAAAACTTGTGGCATAGGAAAAAAAAAACACACACACACACAGAGTGATGCTGATATAGTGGTACCAACAACAATCAGATAGAAGAACACTATCACATAATTTGCCTCGGCTGACTATTTAAACCTAAACCGAAACCGTAACATATTGTGATCGGCTTTGGTATAAAATCAAACCATAGAAACAAAGAAGTAAAGGCCCAACAAAAGGCAATGAAAGCCCAGTCCAAAATAAAAGAACCAAGACTCGAAATTCAAGAACACCGTCGTAACCTTAACGACGGCGACGACGCAGTCGAGCTACTTCCGGAAGCGCGTCTAAGAGTTCATTTAGCGTCGTTTCTCTGCCCTCTCCACTGTTCCATGGCTTGTATTCAACCCCGGTCTTGACCGCCACTCGTATCTCGCGGAAAGCTTTACGGATTGTACGATATAGATCATCTCCGAATGTATCTTTTACAGCCTCTAGATCATTCACGTTGTAGGGTTTAAATGGTACATCTACACCTTCTTCTTCATGTGCAGCGATCATCTTCTCAATCCAGAGATTGCGTAGTTGGTTGGCTCTTGCCATGGTTTCCTCCTCAGTTTCCTCCTCTGTTTCCTTGTTTCTCAAGCAACCTTGATAGAAGTTTTGAACATCCATGCGCCCCATGCTTCTCTCGATTCCCTTGTAATTGTCATCAAGAAGTGGATATATCTGGCGAAAGAGACACATTGGTCGTCACATCATCACCCTAGCTAGTAGGTTATTTCTAAAGCTTTACGTGATAGCACTAACCTTAAGAAGGGTACATGATGCCAATAGAAGTTTCTCTAGCTCTTGGTCCAGCTTGTCTTCTAGTGCGATTAAGTGTGCTCTAGTCTCTTCAACATCATCTTCAATGATGACTCTCTTCTCCACCTCGTTCACGAGTTCTTGATCTTCCATCTTTGAGTTGAAAGAGAGTGAAACTTAAAAAACAAAAAAAAAAGGGAGACTAGAGTTTTTATACTAGTCAGCTGCCTTATTTGGGCCTTATTATGCTTCGGCCCAATACATTAAATTAAGAGAAATTTGTTCTTTTTTTTCCTGGGAATAACTCCAAATGCCCATGTGCCCCTCTGACTCATAAAAACTTCTCAATTCTCCTATCAAGAAAATATATTTTTTTTTATATTTATTTTTAGAATACAAAACGTATTAAATACATCTATAACCATAAAAAAACTAGATAATTACATGATCTAACCACATTAACCCGACCCACCCAAATCCAATTGGGCACAACGAGGTCTAAGAGGTTATCGGACAATCAAACGAGTTTATTCACTAAAAAATATACTTATAGCATTTCTTAAAAAGCGATGTACAATGAGAATACATCTCTCGAAGGTGATGCTGTGAAGGGAAGAATATAATAATGTGTGTGGTTGTACTCTTTTTCATTTTCATGGTTTTTGTCTCATTATATTTTTTAGTTTACTATAATTTACAGGAATTACTGGAGTTACTGGAATTACTCTAATAATGATAATACTAATGGTATTCTATTTTATCTCACGAAAATGCAAAATCCGCAGTGCACCTTCATTTGTTTTGATTATGGGGGATATTATACAAAAGATGGAGCTGAAATAAAATGGATCTCGGGAGATGGTAAATGAGAAGATGAAATTCACACGATTTTTATACTAGCCGTTGGGTGAACTAGCCTCGTCCAAACTAGGAGCTTCCGGACAGTTTGACCGGCGAGCTGGACCGGTCCGGCTCGGTTCGCCGTACATCGAACCGACCATCCCGAGCCTCGATCTCCCGCATCCCTGATTCAATGCTTACGTCCTTCGACACGGTCGTGTTTTGAACCACGGTCGAAATGTCTCCCGTTTCGTCTCGATCTGACCTATCATTCGTTTTACGATAAAAACCGTAAAACTTTGTTTTCTCGAAAAGAACTCGAGGAAATCGTATAAAACGGCAACGGTTAAACGAGACACCGAACATTGCCTAAACTATACGATTTACTCGAGATTTTTCGTTAAAATCATAAAAAACGCGTTTTTAATAAAAGCGTCGAGAAAATCGCAAAAAACGGCAATGATTAACCGAGAAACGAACGTAGCTAAACTTTACGATTAACTCGAGGAATTTACTAAAAACGGTATCGGATCAGGAAACAATCTCGTATAAAGTCGTAAAACGGTCCGAAAGGTCCTAAAACGCGATATAAGTCCATCTCGCGATCTTAACGAAATCTAACCCGAAGATACGATAACATTTTAATGGTTTATTTGCAGAAGGAAGATAAATTTCAAGTTTGAAGATAAATGGCAAGTTTGAAAATAAATAGAAGATTTCCGCGGGAAAAAAAGAAAGATCAAGATAAATGGAAGATTCCCGATAAATTCGAGCGAAATGGAAAGGCTAAAACCGCCTAGGAGGGGAGTATATAAGCTAGAGGCATAGGGCAGAAGCAGGGACACGATTTTCAGAGCTTTCACCACCAAATTTAGCATTTAGGAATATTTCTGTTTTCTGTTAGCGAGCTGCGTCTCAACTAGGGTTTTCGGTCTTAGACTTCTAGAGTTAGGGATTTCGCCGACGGCTCACACAGCTAAGGCCACTCTCGTTGTAGCAGTTCTTACACCGATTCGGAATAAAAACCTTATTGCTCTCAATTTCGTTCATTCATACTTTTAATTTTAAGTTCATCGTTTTTCTTAATTCTCGTTGTGCGGTTCTGCAGATGGCCGGGTCCTCTGGAAACTTAGGGTTTACTTAAAGTTTCCTTATTTATGATTTATTGAACATAGGTGAATTTCGGTTCTCACAGTTTGGCGCTAGAAGGAGGGGGGTCGGATCTATCTTACACCCGAAGCCGCAACATGCCCAACGAAGAAACGATGACGGATAACCAACAAACTTGCAAAGAACACGACAACGGTGACAAAACACCGCGACCACAAGATGCGTCCGCGGCCAACGGTACCAACGCTAACGCCGAGACCATCGAAAAGATGCTTTCCGAGTTTAAAAAAAAATAGGAAGAGCAAGAAAACCTCATTGGTTCGCTCACGAAACGGGTTGAAACCCTAACTGCGAAAACCAGAGCAATTGCCCCCGCGGAACTACTAAGATCCGCGGAAGGAGGCTCGATTTCGGTGCTCGCATGGATCGCCCCAGAAGCGAGCATGGTACACTACAAGAAAACATTGATTTTGCAACTACAGAATTAATCACTAAACAGTTGCAAATATGATATTAGTAACGTATTTGCAACCACAAAATATAGTTAGAAAAGCTTCGTCGCAAATGAAGATAGTTGCAAATGCGTTGATAGTTTGCAACCAACTTGTGACGATAACGTTAGTGGTTTATTAGCAACTATACAACAACTCAAATAAAAGTTGCAAAAAATATATTGCTGTGACTAATTAGCAACTGGTTAACTTTAAAAAATTTGTTTGGCTTATTTGCGACTACGTTAGTTTAATGTAGTTGTAATGTTGTCATAAACGTTGGCGACATATAAGCCACCGTATTAGGTTTGGTAAGTTACAATTTGGTCGCAAATTATAGTGACTATTTGGCCACTACATTACGAATATATAGACTGACTGATTTGCAACTACAAAATTTGATGACTGTTGCAGAATCATCACAAAAATTAGAGACAATATTGCAACCAATTTCTTATAGTTGCAAATACACAAAATATAGTGACTAAGTAACAACTATCACTCATGAAAATTTTTGTGGCAGTTTAGTTATACATGTGGTGACTATTAGCTAAAAACATTATTTGCAGATTTAGTTGCTTAATTATATATGAAAATGGTATATTAATGAAATCTAAATTTGAGATTCATTTTGGAATATGGATAGATTTCTTTAATTAAACATTTAGGTATAAAATAATAGGATATTTGTTTTATACATAAGGCAACAACAAGGCATAAAACAAATATCCCATATGCATCTCTGCCAACCAAAAAATAACTTAAGCACAACTTATGTGAGCCAACCTCCTAACAAGACATCAACGACTTATATGTGTGCCAACCAAAAAATAAGGCATCAACTACTTAGCTCTGTTAACCAAAAAACAAGTCATGATCTCCTTAAGGGACAGAAGCTGGTGTTTCTACATGAGCTGCAGTCATAAACTGGGAGAATGAGGGGTCTTTACCTTGCATATACGTGACCAGCATCTTCAGAGAACCCTGACGCGACGCTGAACGAATCGGAAAAACCTCCTACTCACGAACAGGAGACCGAGGGCGACGACATCGAAAGGGTCAACCTGGAAACAAGCGACCAAGCCGACTCATTGGATGAAGACGCTGACGTCCATCCTAGGAGAAGAAAAACTCGCAGCCCTCCACCAGAGTCTTCTCCCGAGCGTTCTCTCACTGGAGACGAGGAGGAACTCGACTTTACGTGATACACAAAAACTGCTGAGGAGCGATCTTCGGTTACTCACAGCAATCGGCGACGAGGTCGAAAAACTGCTGGCGATCTGACCGAGATTCGCGATCTCCGCGAGTACATCACTAAAACGGCCGCAGCGATAAAAGCGGTGAAATCTTAGATTCATCACGCTACCAGCGCCGCACCCGAAATCGATCGACTACTGTACGAATCTCGGAAAACGCCCTTCACGTCTCGCATCACCGAGGTCAAGCTGCCCGATCCCGGGAAACTTAAGGTGCCGACTTACGATGGGATGTCTGATCCCAAAGCGCACCTACAGGCCTTCCAGATCACCATGGGACGAGCCAAACTCAAGGATCACGAAAAGGACGCAGGTTACTGCCGTCTTTTCGTCGGAAACCTAGAAGGAGCAGCGCTCGAATGGTTCGTCAAACTTAGGCGGAATTCGATCGAAAGTTTCCGCCAACTCGCTTCCGAATTCCTGAAGCAATACTCGATGTTCATCAACCCGGAAACATCCAACGCCGATCTCTGGAGCTTGTCGCAAAAGGAGGACGAATCTCTCCGCGATTTCATGAGTAGGTTAACACTCGTCATGGCTAGGGTTAGCGGAATCAACAACAAAGCCACCATCGACGCGTTGAGGAAATCACTCTGGTTCAAATCAAAATTCCGCAAATGGATAACTCTCGAGAAACCGCGAACGATCCAGAACGCGTTCCATAGGGCTACTGATTACATAACCATTGAGGAGGAGACTAGAATCCTGTCCGAAAAGCATAAGCCGACGAAGACGTCCGCAAAGGATAACGCGTCCGAGCACAGGCTGAACAAGAAGAATTCTCGTAACGACAAGTTCGTCCATCACGAGGGACAGGATCTCCAAGGGGCGCATAACTACGCCATTAATTCCGGATCAAAGCAAGGACGAACTACGGATAACACGTGGACGAGAAATTCGAATTACGATGAGAATACTTTCTGCGACCTCCACCAAACCCGTGGACACTCTACCGTGAACTGCAAAGTTCTCGGCGCCAGGCTTGCCGCAAAACTGATCGCAGGAGAACTCTCTGAGATATCCAGCGTCAAGGATCTCATCTGCGACTCAGACCGCCTCCCGAAAAACGACAAGAACTCGCGAGCGGAAACTCCGCCTCAGGGGAACCAGTCGGGCGAAAAACGCGGACGAAGGCAAGACGAGAAGGGTAACGACGCTAACCGCCGAAAAATCGGCATGATTATCGGTGAATCGCAATATTATAACGACACCGTCTCGTCAATCAAATCCTACCAACGTAAAGCCGAAACCGGCTCGAGTTGGAAGGTGCCATCGGATGACACTCCGAAAGGGGTAATCTCATTCACGACGCTGAAACCGGCGGAATCGACCAACCTCATGCCGATCCCATTGTCATCGACTTAGTGATAAGCGATTTAGAAGTCGCTCAAATCCTGGTCGATACCAGAAGTACCGTCAACGTGATCTTCCGCAACACGTTAGCATGTATGGGAAC